CCTCCAAGCGGTGCCCCCGGCCTACCCCCACCCCCTGGTGCTAACCTCAAGAAGAACAAGAAGACAGTTCGCCTGCACTGGCGGGCTTTGCCAGGAACAGAAACCCACCCCAGTACCAAGGGAGAGCTCATCTGGAAGCAGCTGGTGCCCGTTACCATCGACACAGAGAAACTGGAGCACTTGTTTGAGACTCGCACCGCAGACATCAAGCAAAAGGCAAGTGACGGGGTATCCCTGCTGTGTTGCTCGTCTTAATCACTCTGTCAATGCTTGACTCAAGATTGGCGAACTCACTAATATGTACTAAAATCAAAACTCCACTTTCAAAGAGGTCATCTTTTGGTGGGTTTTTTTAATGCAGAAACCCAATTTAGAGTTAAAAACTTTCATTTTGGTAAGAGTTTTGGTTACTATGTCAGAATCTCAGAATCGTTTAGTAGGAAAGCTAAAGATAGTTGTGTGGTTACGTAGAAGTTAAAAGGTTAATATATTTGAATGGATAAAAGATGACCAATTCTGTCAACAAATGCTTTAATATTTATCAGAAGACATTAGAAAAATATTTCTATACTTCTGTAGTAAGCTCAGCAAGACAAAAGGACATTTCTCTTAACAATCGGGAAACTGTTGGCCTTTTTGCTGTGTGTTACTCTGTCGCTCCATATGCTGGCAAACCTGTATTCACAGCCAAACCTTTAGCTATGAGCTGCGCTTTAATTTTTAACGTCAGTCTTGTAATGCTTGGCAGTAACTGCTGAAGCCCTAAACAATGATGTATCCGTTTTTGTTTTGTGTATATTATATACTTTCAGCGCTAACTTTCTAGTCTTGTTGTGCGAATTAGCTAGCTCATTCTTCTGACAATAGATGCTGTATCGTCACGTCCTCATTGTACTCAGCCTTTGTTTTCTGACAGTAATTAATTTCATTGTGTAGCAACATTGTTCTGACTTATTGAACGTTAATAATAAAATTACATCACAGTAATTACTGTTGTCTATAAGCCTCTAATTTATCAAGTACTAATGTTAGATGTTTGCTGTCAGTTTTGTGAAGTTTGTGGTCGTGTGACAAATGTGTGATGTGGTGATGTTCACTGATGCATTCAGAGTCTTTGCGTTTGATGACATGGCGGCACTTTCTGTGTTGTACTGTGTGGAGGTAGTTAGCTCTTTTCACGTTTCTAGACTCTGATGTAGTAATGCTGTCTGAAACACCTGCATCTTTCATGCCTCTCCTTGTTTCCTAGTTAATGACATCAGTTTTTTTCTTCTTTCTTCCTCCTATCTCGCTCTCATTTTCTCATCTTTTGCTTTTGTGGTGATCCTTGCTTAGTAAACGTCAAAGTTTTCTGTCTGTTACCTGTTTTGTTTTTCGTCTCTCTTCCTTTCTCTGCTCTTGTTTTGTTTTTTTAGTAGGTGTTATGACAGGACTTTCTTGTAGTGTTGTGTATGTAATGAGGCTTTGAGTACCGAATGACTTTAGCCATGTGCAGTTTCTCACCGCTTGACTCTTTATTGTTTTTTCTACAACGATGGATCTCTGAGTTGATGACCGGGCGCAAATCTCATGTTGCATGTGCTATGCATTTAATCTTCAGGATGTGGTAAGGACTTTTTTGCACTCACTTTTACCTTCCTAGCTTGGAATGAAAATGCTGTAATCATCTGTGTGGTTTGCTAACTGTTGTATGTATTAAGTTCAGTGAGGGACACCCCCCCCCCCACCCCCCAAAGACCATCATAGTAGTTCTCAGTAATGTTGCTCATAAATTACTGGGATCTTATTTGGAAGTGCTATATGTCGAACATCAAGGTTACACTCTATTTGCATTTATGCACCTATAAAGCTCAAAGCTCTTTCTGAAATAGAGGGAAAAAATCCCATCAGGAATCTTAATTTTTTTCAAAGGAGATTGTAGTATTTGTGAAGCGTGCTGACAAAATGAGTTGCTTCTGGGATTCAAGCCTTAAGAAATTAAATACGTCACGCTTATTGGTGAACTTTTACAACTTATCAGTTTGAAATGATAAAAGACAGGTTATAGTTAAAGTATATGGCATCGATAAAAAATCTTTAAATTTGACCCTTGCGTCAATTTTTGACCAATATCTCCATTTTTGTGAATTGCGAGAAGTTACTCATTTTGTCAGAACCCCTCACATTTGTTAAAACGGCCGTTTTTCTCACAGAGCCTCACGTTTCTTCCGAGCTATGACTTTTGGAATGTTTTTATTATTTGTCATTTGCCTTGCAGTGGGTTTAGATGCGAAGATGTTGGAATGAACCAACAGTTTATTTGAGCAAGAAAAGCATCACTTCGGTTGCTGTTTGTGTTCTGTTACTAGGTGGGGGTGAGATTAATTGGGATGTTCTTTGACGTTATCAGTGTGTTTGTGCTGCTTAAGGAATTACAGGGTATCCATTGAATCCATGCACCTCTGTACACAAAATGTTGCTGCTTTCAAAAGTCATTAACCATGTCTTACTCATCTTGGTCACATTATCAGTTCTTTGAATCCGATGTTTTTTGTTGTGGCAAGAAGCTGAACTGCAATGCCTGTGGGTCTTTGTGGGAGGAGAAAGGTTTAGACTGATTTAAGCCAAACAGACTCAAATGTGTTCCCTCGGCATCTCTGCTAATTTGGTAAGCTGGAGAAGAGGAAGAGAATTATTTTCACCATGATTAGTGCCCTGCTGAATGCAGCTTGTTAGGCATGATGAAAAATCTTCTGTCTTATAATGAACTCATTATTTTGAAAACTGCATACTGTGTACACAGTTTTGTGACTGCTCCAAAAATCAGATATGTTTGTTAATCAAAACAGCAAAGCCATTTGATTGAATGAACTGTGCACCATATAATCATAAATTGACCCAAGGCCTAGACGTGTACACTCCTACTCCCTACTTTCAACTGCTGCCTCTGCCTCACTGTCTGTCCTGTTTGAGGAACCACCAATTTGTCTGTTGTGACCTATTCTTATTCTATGCTTTTTCTGCACTAAACTCTTGTATGATATGAAAGATTATCATGTTTAATTAATGAATTTCCCGTTCCTTCCCTGCTCTCCTTCCCCCCTAACCCCCCTCGTAAGTAGACGCCTTGTCAAAGCGTCATAGATAGTGTTTTTTTCGTATAGCTTTTGGATGCTTTCAGCACGTACCAGAAACTGTAGCTGGAGATATCCTGTGCTGTTACTCAGATCTTTGGGGTTTGGTTGGAGCTTCTCAGACTTTGTTCTCATGGTTGTTTACACATTTTCGTGGAGCTGGGTCTGTTGCCAAGTTTATTGGGTTTCTTTGTCTTTAATTTCATGCGTACAATTTCTGTCAAATGAATGTGTCTTTTTTTACCCTTTTTTCTCTGATTTTGCATATCAGCCTTGTATATTAAATCAAACATATGTTTTTCAGTCTTTTTTTAAAAAATTCTCTCAGTTACCTGGGTTTGATCTGTTTTCAATTTTTACTCTCTATATAACATTTTGGCTTTCCCTTGCATAGTAACAATTTGCCCTTGAATATGTGTTTCAGTTATTCTTTTCTCCTTCCCAAAAGAAATGCCATAAGGCACAGTCAAAGTGACTAGAACCTAGACGAACGCCCCATAACGTGCTTCACAGAACCCAGTGCATGTCGCCACCCCTCCCCCTCCCCATGTTCTAAACACCCTCCTTCCCCTCCCCTCCCCCAAGCCTTAAGCACCCTCCGCTTCTCCCCACCCCCTCTTTCCCCCTTTTCAAATTTCTAACCAGAGATGTCAAAAGTAAATTTAATTAACACTGTTTAATGATATTTTCTACAGTACAGATGTCCCTGTTTTATCCCCCACTGTCCTTCAGTTCTGTTCAAGAGCATCTCAAAATACTCACTTGTATGTTAAGTGGACCTTTACATACTTGTGGTCATAGAAAGTTGTTTCTTTTGAGCAGCAGTTCATGTAAAGAAATGCGTTGTCGTGATATTTTTTTTCCTGTATGTCGAAACAACAATCTAGTCCTGGGTCTTTTCCAATTTTGAACTAAACGTTTGAATGGATAAGGGATGATAATGCTTTACTTATGTATTTTCTTTTTCCTGGTATATGGAATGCATTTGCAGAAATATTGATTCAGTTATTTTTTGTATCTAAATGGATTAAGTTTTCTTTTTTTTAACCTTATTATTGTCATAGTACATACATCGTTAAAGTTGATTGGAATTGTTGATCGTTAAGTCCTCATCCTTCTGTCACTCCTTCCCAGTGATGGTCTCTGCGACCTTGGAAGGCCCAGTCTGTTGAAGGCTGTAAATCATTTTATTTTGCTTTCCACTCTATACACACTGTATGCTGCTTTGTGTATACATATATCACATATTATAATCTCTAAGCTATACATTTCTGTCTTCCTTTCTGTACAGATGTTCTTAGTTTAGATGTTATTCCAAATAAGATTCAAAGGTCTTCCTTTCTGTACAGATGTGCTTAGTTTAGATGTTATTCCAAATAAGATTCAAAGGTCTTCCTTTCTGTACAGACGTGCTTAGTTTAGATGTTATTCCAAATAAGATTCAAAGGTCTTCCTTTCTGTACAGATGTGCTTAGTTCAGATGTTATTCCAAATAAGATTCAAAGGTCTTCCTTTCTGTACAGATGTGCTTAGTTTAGATATTATTCCGAATAAGATTCAAGGGTGTATCTTTACACTATAATTCTAATTTGTAAAACAATTGACAAAAGAATTTTTGGTGCATCCGAGGCTGTCGCTTTTACTCTATGCTTACATTTTTAGGCGTCCATCAGGAGATTCTAAAGTGCTAACTGAATTGATATGGACACTTTTAAAAAAGCAATCGTTATACATCTGTTTATTTTTACTGTAAATTACTCCCTATTTCGTAAGTTAAATCGAGTCGTGAAATATGAGAAATACATTTCAATTGTATTATATGTAAGGCTTTTGTTTTAAAGATTGTGAACCATAAACAGTAATAGCTAAAAAAAAAAAAAGCAGAAAACAAAAAAAAAGCTAATGATAATCTTGTAAAACTGTTAACCAGTAATTGTACTTCACATCCAAAAGCCTCTCTTTCCTGCAGGCACGATAGTGTCATCTTTGTACCTTGTGTTTTATTTTTTTCTTTAACTTTGTGAAGAAATTAGCAAAGAAAAGAAACTCTGAACTCGTCACAGTGTTACGTGCAACGAAATGTTTATGAGATATTGATGACTCGTCTTTCCTGTACACCAAACGTGTGTTGCCTTCCCCTGGGCTGTTCCCTGGCTCTGCCTTGAGTGTACCCCAACTCTATCTCCCTCTCTGTGTACTTCAGAAACAAGACACGAGTGGGAAGAAGGAGATCACAGTTCTGGACCCCAAGCGCTCCAACGCCATCAACATTGGCCTCACCGTGCTGCCCCCACCCCGCACCATCAAGGCCGCCATTCTCAAGATGGATAATTCTATCATGAACAAAGAGGGCATTGAGGTAGGTAACAGTGTCTCGCTTGGTTCTCGGGTTTGTTTGTTGATGTGTTTGGTCAGTCATTGGTATCATTATCTTTGGAGAATTGGGACTACTTCTTGTATTACTCAACCTAAAATAATGCCTTTACTCCTTGCCTGTATACTGTATATTATAATGCTCCCAGTTTTGAAAATATTTATGTTCAGCAAGACTGAACTCGCTGGACCCAACAGGCTTGGGATAATATGTCCCTGGACAGTTCTTTCAGCGAAGCGTCTTCAGAAGGAAGAGCAAAAGTGCCATTTGTTAATATATTCTACTTCACTTTACCAAATGAGATAGCTTGTGGTCTAGTGGAGAAAGTACATTTTACATAATCACACTTTTCTTGAAAAAGGCAATGTGTATCATACCCGAAACCAAACCGAACATGTACCTCAGAGGGTGGGTGGTTGGCGGGTGCTCTGGTGTGGTTTGCTCCTTCTTTCCTATGGAACATCTATCCTCCTTATCTCCCCTTCTTCTTTTTTATGTTTGTTACTCTCTTGTAACACCTCTAATCTTCTGGTGCTCATGTGAAGTTATGCAGTTGCGAACGCCGTAAAACCTCTACTAAAACTAGCAAACAAGAGGATATTAAACTAACTTCAGCCCCACCTGACTTCTTATTCCACAGAAAATTCTGACCACCATGATCCCGACAGAGGAGGAGAAGTCCAAGATCCTGGAGGCTCAGATGGCCAACCCTGATGTCCCTCTGGGGACAGCCGAGCAGTTCCTCCTCACTCTCTCCTCTGTGTTTGAGCTGGAGGCCCGACTCAAACTCTGGCTCTTCAAGCTGGATTATGAGAATCTAGAACAGGTGAGTGGGAGCTTGTTTTTGTCAGGTGTATTTGTATTGTAGTAATTTATTGTACTGTTAGTCTCTGTTGGGTATTTTGGCTCTTTGCCTTACAAGGGAAATGAGGTAGATTTCCTTGTGGAAAAATTGTTTATTGAGTATATTCGTCTTTGTGCTGGTGGGGTCAAAGAGGCCTGCCTCATCAATTGCCTAAGTTGTATAGGTTGGAGTATAAGAAATTTGCAATAATCTACTTTATTTTACTAGTTCTCACTGTTGTAAATGTATACGACCTATGTATGTATATATAGATATGTATGTGTTTTTGTGCTAGTCGGGGTCCCTCATCCTGAAGTAGATGTGTGTTGTGACAGGAAAGAAAGAGTCGCATTCCAGAGTCTTAGCTAGAAAAATTTGAGAGCAAAAAAATTGTCGAAACCCTTCAAAATTGTGTTTGGCTGCTCTGGTTAAGAGGACGTGAACATTATATGATGTGAAGGTGAAAAAAATGCTCCTCTAAGAAAATTTACCTCTTAATTCACAAAGAGGGGCCTCATCTAAACCGATAACACTACTACTTAGCCCTCATCTCATGGACTCCTATAACAGATCAAATACCAACTTTCATATGCGGTTTACTGATCCCGCCAAATCTGCAAAAGTCTGAAAAATTCAGGAAAATGATAATCAATTACTCAAGACATGTTTTATTATTTAGCGGAGGTGTTGTGGGGATCTGCTGAATCTGTTGTGAAACTCCTCCTAGTCCTATGTTTGCTTTTTTATTATGTCTCTTATCTGCTTCTGCTCTTGTTGTATAAGTGTCCCTTGGGTCTTTGTCTCACAGTTTCTGCTGTTGCCTCCACAGGAAGTAGCAGAGCCGCTGATGGATCTGAAGAAAGGCGTCACGGACCTGCAGAAGAACCAGACGTTCCGGTGCATTCTCTCAGGCCTCTTGGCTGTAGGCAACTTTCTCAACGGGGCAGCTGTGAGTTGTTGTTTTTTTATGAACTTCTGGGTTGTTTTTTTTTTGGGGGGGGGGGGGGGGGGGCTTGTGTATCTGTGTGTATCGCTGTGTTTTTTCATTTGTGTGTGTGTGGGGGGGTGATAAGGAAAAGACAGAAGGAGAGAGAGTCTGAGGAAACTCCTGCATTTTGTAATATTTCTATGTGAGACTCTCTCATGGGGTCGATTTGTTTAAAATTGTAAGGGCATTTATATCTATGTTATGATAATGATCGTATAACTCTCCCACCTTTATTTTTGGATTCCCGTGCAAATACTTGAGGTCATATCATGGGGACAGTGACTTCTGTGAATCAAAGAAGATAAAGAAGTATGTAAAAAAAAGTGTGTCTCCGCTTTTTTAGGGGCTTCTGCTGATCAATTTGAAAACTTCAAAAATGTCTTGAAAAGTGAGCATTTGATGTTAGTATATATACTTTGACAATCAAGACAAATTGTTGTCTCTGCACAATATCTAACCCTCTTTGGAGGGTAGGTGGGGGATATAATAATATTTCAATGACTCATGTTTCATTTTAGTCGAGAGTTGTTACAGATTTGTGCAAGCATGTCTGTCATGTCAGATATTTAAATGGTTTTGCTGAAGTTTCATTTTTTCCCCCTTCCTTCCTGTTCCAGATCCGTGCATTCAGCATTGAGTTCCTTCAGCGTGTGCCAGAGGTCAAGGACACAGTACACAAGCATTCACTGCTGCACCACCTGTGCACGCTCATCATAGAGCAATTCCCAGACTCCTCCGATCTCTACTCGGAGATCGGGCCCGTCACAAGGTGCTCTCGGGTAAGTTTCTGTCTCTGTCTCTGTTGATGTTTACGCATATGTGTAGCTGGAGAGCACCACTGGTCTGTTTGACTTCTTTTACATCTTTGTCATGGTTCTGTCTATTTGTTCTAACTTTTCCATGCACTAAAAGACCACAATTATATTGACGTGCCTCTCTGGACTCAAACTAAATCCAAACATGACGTGTGTGTGTGTTTCCTCCACCCACATGTACTGGTTCTGTAACTTTGTCGGTTGTAGAATCTGTTTGTTTTGATCTTTGTAGCCATGTTGTAAATTGGTGAGAAGTGGGTGGTTGGCGGGTGCTCTTGTGTGGTTTGCTCCTTCTGTCCTATCAAACGTCTATCGTCCTTATCTCCCCTTCTTCTTTTTTATGTTTGTAACACCTCTAATCTTCTGGCATTCATTTGACCTTATGCAGTTGCGAGCACCGTAAAACCTCTATTAAAATTAAAAAACAAAATTGGTGAGAAGAAATGTTGTCCGCTCTTCTACTAGCAGGAGAGAGTACATTCTCATTTTCAGATCCTTTTGTTAGTGATTCTTTTCCAGACTTAGGTCAACTGACAGTCTTGGGACTTTTAGACCCAAACATACAGCCTAGCTTACTCAGATGTACCTAAATGGCTGTCAAGTTTGACTTATTCCCTGCCTTTGTAGAATATTGTTGCGTTTATGCACAAGATGATAAGAAAGAATTATCGGGTTATGAGCATTCTTGCTTGTGTTAATAATTTTTTTGTATGCGTGTTTGTGTACTCTGTGTTTACATGTCTTCTAGTAGTGTGTGCACATATGGCACAATGTCCGAGTGAACGATTTGCTGGTGTCATACTCATGAAAAGTGTCTTCAGCCCACATAATGGACAGTGGATGATCTAAGAATAAGTTTTCTCCTTCTTTTTCTTCTACTTCTTATTATTCTTATTCTTATTCTTATTCTTATTCTTATTCTTATCAATTCCAATAATATGCTTTAAGCAGTAGAAAGCATGTGAAAGATGCAATGTTCTAGCAACCCTGGGCCTTTATGTTGCATGATATATGAATGTGTCATTGTTCACATATTCTCCACTATTTGGTTATATCGTAAGACAAGTTCCATTTTAATCTTTATCTGCAGGTGGACTGGGAAGAACTGTTCCACAAACTCAACAAGATGGAATACGACTGCAAGGCTTCATGGGATCACTTGCGTGCAATTGTCAAACATGACGGCAGCTCCACAGATTTGAAGGGAAAGTATGTGCACTTTGACCTCTTATGGGATGAGAATTAGTATGCATGCTTATGTTATTTGGGTTTTTGAGGGAGTTTTTTTTTGGGGGGGTTAAATGGTGTAGTAATTGTTGATTGATTTGGAGCGGGGGGTTTCAATTTTTTTTCTGTGATTTCTTCTGACTTTATGGGGTATGCTTTTTTTTTTTTTGATTCGTCCCAATTTTATGGATTGAGGAAAGTGAAAACACAACTACCAGTGGAGTCAGTAAGGGAGGGAGAGATTTTGTGAATAGTAACTAATGACCTTGTTTGTTATTTGTGTCAGCTGCTGGGGTGTGTGTATGTATGTGTGTGTGCGCATATGAATGGGTGTGTATGTGTGTATGTTCGTGTGAAGTACTTCCTGTTTTAGTTTAAATCACTATGCTTTCAAATATTATATACTGCAGGTTTTATGTATATCTGTTTTTGCAACATACCCAATACACTTTAGGTGTTTTTAGTTTCTTGGGATTTTTGCTTTATGTCTGTTTGATTATAGTTTTTTTCACAAATCAGTCTAAATGCTAACATTTTACATCTTTGGTTGCTAATGTTCTTTTAAACTTTTTTAAAATGATTGAAATTGAATAGCAAAGTTTGTCTTTTTTTAAATTGGACAAGTATACGTTCAAAGCAAATAACCAGAAATATTACACTGTCGAAGTGAGTCTAGTGTGAAAAGAAAATCTCATTTAGCATTTAGATAGAGAGATTCACAATAACATAAGTTGTAGCGCTCTTTATAATTTTGCTCTAAAGTATGAAATGTTCAGAGTCGAATTCTAGTTACAGAGACTTTAATATACATTGATACTGCAGGACTGAAAGTGGTACATTTAACCCAACTTTTTTTTCTTATCTCCAGAATGTCATTATTCTTGTCGGACGCAGCAGAGAGGATCATGATCCTCCACATCATCCATAAAAGAATTCACAACAGGTGAGAAAAAGTAGTTGTTATATCTTTGGTGAGAGAGCATGGTAATAGAATTGTGGAGGAGAAAGTGTTATGGTCATGTCAGGAACTATATAGCTATGTTACAGAACCGTCTCAAGTGTGTGAAGGGAACTACACAACCAGTATGCATTCATGACATAATTTTGGGCATACTGCTCTTCTTGTATTTTATTGAAATGCAAAAAAAAGACCCAGAATGATAGCACTCTTCCTTCATTCAAGAAGTGGTTGGAGACTGTCACTGATAATCCTATTTCATTAATGATTTCTTCAGTCTTTTTGGTTCTTGCTTTAATATACAAGTATTGTGTTGAATTGAATTTGTTAAGCTGGGGGAAAAAGAAAAACAAGCAAGTGTTGGTGGTTGGCAGGTGCTCTGATGTGGTATGCATCTTCTTTCCTACCAAACATCTATCGTCTTTATTTCTCCTCCTTTTTGTGTTTGTAACTCTCTTGTAAGGTGGCATTGTTATCCTAGTGGTTAAGCTACTGGACCTGTAATCGTGAGATTGTGGGTTCTCGGGTTCAAGTCTCAGCTCTGTCCGACGTTGTGTCCTTGGGGTTCAAGTCTCAGCTCTGTCGGATGTTGTGTCCTTGGGAAAGGCACTTTACATGAATTTTCCATTTGGTTCAAGTGTTGATAGAGGAAAAAAAACCTATACCATTTCACCCCTTCACTCTCTTATAACACCTATGATCTTTGGTACTTATATGACCTAATTATGTTGCAAGTGCCATAAAATGCTTACCAAAAAACCCCCCCCAAAAAACCCCAATTGTCGACTGCCAGTAAGTTGTCTCATGTATTGTCTCCAGATACAACAAACTTCTCCTTTTCCTGGGCTTCCCGGTTCACGATGCTCGGGAGCTGAGGATCAACCATTTCTGCAAGGTGATCAGCGAGTTTGCCCTGGAATACCGCACAACTCGCGACAAAGTTTTACAGATGATGCAGAAGAAAGCCAACCAGCGGGAGAGAAAGAAGACGCGAGGGAAGATGATCGTTGATGTGAGTCACACACTGTCACTGGTTGTTGAGTCCCCTAAGATTTTTTGTCAACTCATATTGTATTATTTATATATCAATATCCTTTTCCTCCTTCCCTTTTTTCTTCAGGGAGAAAAAGTTTCTATGTGACTGTATTCACCTACTTTAATCTTCTTTCTAAACAGACAAAAAGAGTGATACAGCATGTTAAGGATATGTTGAAAGGGTATAGTGAGCTCATGTGTTGCTCAGACTAGAACCATAAAACTTAATTTGCTTTTTCCGCATGCGGGTGCCTATTTCTTTATTGTTGGGTCTCTTAACTAAACCCCCCCACAGCTTACTGATTTTTTAACGCGTCTGTAAAGAGTGTGTTCATCTGAGGGTGCTGAACTGGAGCATATAGAAATGAATGGTTCAATTTTTGTCCAAATGGCAGATGTTGACAGTTTTACACATCAGATTGTTTTTGCTTTTTCAGCCTCATTAATGAGTGTATGTATGTCTTAAATATGTGAGACTACTAAAGTAAAACTCTGATGAGCTCTGTCTATGTACCCCACTTATGTAAAACAGAACACCAGTTATGTAAATCACACATGTCAGGCTGCAGTATTTATTGTACTTAATTCCCCTCTGATTATGATAATGAGATTTTCTCTGGAAACATTTCGAAAAGTCAATTTAGGTTGAGTGTCTGTGATATTACTGGGTGCATATACCCAAAGTCCCCTGCAATAGCTGGCCTTTTAGATCCTATGGTACAGTTTGATGACTGACTCGACCAATGCCTGGAGGTGAGAGCTTCAAATTTGAATGGGGGTCAGTGTTTTCACCCTGCTTGGGGAGATCATAGCATGGGACTATGGTAAAGTTGTACTGAGTTCTCACCCTGTACCCCCCACTTGTACTTTCCACAGACGGAGAACTTTAAGGGCAAGGAGGCAGCCACAGACGATCCCCTTCACAAGTTGTTGAAGAACGGGTACACCAGCGCTGACGAGAGGGGACTGCCAGGACAGAAGAGTCGCAGGAAGCTTGGTGAGCTTGTGGTAGTGAAAAAAGGGGGGGGGGGGGGGGGGGGGGATGGACTGGGGAGTTGGCGGATGCCCTGCAGGGTCTGCTTCTCCTATTTCTTATTTCTTTTCAGTATATCCTAGTCTACTTCTTGAGGTGAGTGGTAGTTTTTATTGTACTGTAACTGTGAATTCCCTGTGGTACTTTCTGATCGATGTGACCAAAGCCTAGAGGTTTTAGGTTCAAATCTGTGTGGGTTCCACAATTTCTCTTTGTTGGCCTTCTATAATATTTCCCTTGATTTATGTGTCTGTCTCTATGAAGATCAAATTACTTCTCTTTGAAAATTACTAAAATTGTTTATAGGAGGATGCAGTTTGTCTCCAACTAGCTCCTAACAACAATTACCTTGTTTCCCCCAGACGCTCGGTCCATGGGGTCCCGCACCAGTGGAATGACCACAGACTCTGACATGTATGACACGGGTGAGGATGAGATCCTTGAGGCCTGTGTGAGGACAGCCACCAAGCCCAGCTCACGGCCGCCACGGGAACGCAAACGATCCAGGAGTCAACGAAAGTCCTGTAAGTTTGGGGGAGGTTTTTTAAATTTCCACACCCGGCTCGCTCCGCTGATGCTTGGGGGTTTGGTACATCCTTTGGTTCGTGGTTGTTTTATAAGTGGTGTTTTTTTCTCTGTGCTGTTGACATGACTCCACATGGCCATTTTATAAGTGGTGTTTTTTCTCTTTGCTGTTGTGAGTGGTGTTTCTTCGGTGTTTTTTTCTTACATCCATTTGGTCTGTCTCTTCTGGTATTTCTCGTAATCCCTTGATGACCTAGGATTTTCTCTTTACCTGCTCATTTCATCTTTTTTCCGCCCACAGGGCAGACACAGGAATGTCATTTTTCCAGTGGGAACTACTGACTTCCTTTTTTTTTCCCCCAATTCATCATTGTTGTTCTTTATTTGGTTTCTTAATCATAGTCTTCTAGTTTGATTTTTCAGTGTCAAAAGCACAACTTCCGTTTTTAAGATGACTGTAATACTTTCATTTTTTGGGGGGGGGGGGGGGGGATCAGGGCTGGGGAAGGGGGGATTTGAGGTAATCTTTTTTATACATAAGTGATAAAACTTACGGCAACACACACACAAAAGAGTAGTGGACATTAGTGGCTTATAAGGTGCACAGACCCTTTCTAGTTTTTGTCAAGGCAGTTTTAATAGCTAATAGTATATAGATATAGCGTACAGTCATAAAATAATCATGATTAGAAATGAAAAGAATACTTTTCTACTTTTCACCCTTTGCTGTCCTAATCATACAAAGACTTCAAATCACTGTCCTAATCATACAAAGACTTCAAATCACTGTACTAATCATACAAAGACTTCAAATCACTGTCCTAATCATACAAAGACTTCAAATCGCTGTCCTAATCATACAAAGACTTCAAATCGCTGTCCTAATCATACAAAGACTTCAAATCGCTGTCCTAATCATACAAAGACTTCAAATCGCTGTCCTAATCATACAAAGACTTCAAATCACTGTCCTAATCATACAAAGACTTCAAATCACTGTCCTAATCATACAAAGACTTCAAATCACTGTCCTAATCATACAAAGACTTCAAATCACTGTCCTAATCATACAAAGACTTCAAATCGCTGTCCTAATCATACAAAGACTTCAAATCGCTGTCCTAATCATACAAAGATTTCAAATTTCTGTTTTTTCAATGCCTTCGTTCTACATCGATACAGGCAAGCCTCAAGATAAGGGTACAAACATGGTATTCTATATACTCTTGGATAGTAGATATTGCTTTGTGTTCTTTTCGTTTGAGCTGCTTCACGCTTTTTTATCGGTTTTGCTTTTGTTTTTGTTTCTATTTTTGGGAAGACTGCAGTCTTTTTGCTAGCAAATTGATGGGGTAGAGTTGTGTAGTAGAAAGGAGGATTGTAATTCCCTCTTCGGGCAATTAGAGAATGAGAGAAATATTGCTGGTTTTCTGTGTGTGGTCTTTTCGTTCAGGAATTAAACATGTGTTACAATGGTGAAGATAAAAGTAGAGAATTCCCTCAGGTTTTCAGCATTTGTCTTGTAGATTCTGGCTGTAAAGTTCTGTGTGGCACATCTGGCTCTGAGGGTTCTCACATCACTGTCGCTGGTGGCTTTCTCTGACCAGAGTTCGGGTTGAGAGTGCAATAAAAGTGTGGGGGCGGGGGCCTGTTTATTTGAGACATGACACTGTGTGGCTGCACACTGCGCTAACCTTTTGTCTGGGCACCTCACACTCTGCTGCACTTGACCTCTAGTTCAGGGAGACTGACCAGTGCCCTGGGTTAAAACTGACCACTGCAAAGGGAAAGTCAGTGTGTGCTGGCTATTATGGTTGTTTGTGTGAGTGTTCACTGTGAGCTGCTAGTATTTGATGGTGGAGAAATAATTGACTGGTTTAATCACTTTTATGGAATGAGAACTATTGATTCAAATTATTCTTGTCTGCTATTATGTTTAATGTTTACAATTAATTTGTATTTGTCTTCCCTCAAAAAAAGAAATTAGATTGAATGTATAGATTAATTTTGAGAGATTGTTGCCATACATTTGAATTAGGCGAGAATTCTCAGTCTGATCTTCAAGTGCACTAAAACACTTTTGGATTAAAGATGTCAATGAGATCTTTTTAGCTATCAGTAAGTGTGGTGCATATTGTTCACTGTTCATGTGGATCATATTGTACATTTCAAAAGTGGGAAAAAATATTATTACATAGCTGAGAGCTGTGGGGTTTGTGTTTGGCAAGCCGATCGTTTGTGAGAACCCTCAGGTCATGACTGTCTCTGGTCAGTGTCTCTTGTACTCTGGTATCCTCTGATGCTCCTGTGTCACTGTCAAAGGTCAGGATAGTTCTATAAATACTATGTAACTCTGTTTTTTGTTTTAGTAAGCCCTCGCAACTGCATATGGTCATATGAACGCCAATATCTAACTCTTAGTTACAGGTAATTAAGTAAGTAATGCGAGTGAAAGTGATTCTTTTCTTTGGATTGGTGAGCAGTGAGGTTTTGGTATTAAAAAAGTAACCTGTTCTGCGTACCTGTAGTGGTTGATTAACACTGTATCGGACAAGGATAGTTGAAACAGGACCAGGATGTATCAGTCTATATAAACGGTATATGGTTTCTTCATTTGGGGGGGGGGGGGTTTGTTTTGTTTTTTTGTGTAGAACACGTGATTGTGTAAACCACTCCCATGGGTGTAACGTTCTATGTTAGCCAATGTGTTTAGGTATTATTTCCAACTGAAAGCGTTTTCACTGCCTTTTCGTATTTATGTTGCAATGTTTTATGTTCCTCAACGTTACCTACCATTTGGTGTGCTGGATCCTAAATGTGGCTGTATGTCAGAAATGTGACCCTGAAGTGCTCAGTGTCTGTGTTAGATGTTTGGTGGTAGTTAGTGCCTTTGTATATATGGATGTATGTGTGATTGTGTGTGTCCATACATGTGCGTGTGTATGTACATATGTGTATATATAGATGGATGGATGTACGGATATATGCATGCATGTGTGTATGTATGCATATGTGTATGTGTGTGTGAATGTGTGTGTGCCTGTGTGTATGCCTTACAGGTGTATGTGTGTATGCCATGCAGGTATGTGTGTGTGTGTGTGTGTATGTATGTGTGTGTGTAAGTATGTGTGTACCCTGTTTCATGTACATTATGACGATGTCTGACAGCCCGTGCACTCAATGTGTTCACAGACATGCTCTAGTCAGGCCAGAAAGCTGCTAAGTGAGCAGACGGTAAATCAGTTGCTCTTAGAGTTCAAGTTTGATCTTGCCATTTTTTTTGGCTGTTTTTATTTGGCCATTTTTTGCCGTTCTCACGGAGGGGGGGGTTTGGTTTGTTTTATTTGTTGGGATTGTCTCCCCTAGGTGCCCACTAATGCAACGTTTTCCCTATGTTTGCCCACCCACCCGTTACTTGGAGGTTCCAGAGTCTAACACAGTGTGTTATATTGTGTGAGCGTGGGGATGTTGACGAAACACACCTGTATTGTAGTCCTGAACGCACCAAAGAGTTACACCCTAACACTCTCACCACGGTCACCATAACAGCTCACAGGGAGTCCACAAACACGCTCACACATGCACATGCTGACGTAGTCACACACACACACACACACGCACACACACATCCTCTCTCACTCACACACACACACTCACTCACACACACATGCACACACGCGCGCACACACACATACACACACACACACAGACCCACACTTTTGTTACACCCAAATTGTCAGAGTCTCACTGGACTCTTGTCTTTTTACATGCAGTGTGTGTTGTTCTGTGCACCATTTTGTTCACAGACAAACCAGGGTGTCTGGACAGTACATGGTCGCTCATAAGTGTCCTGACAGTAATGTCAGAAATATGGTCTCAAGGCACATTTTGTCAATTATTGTTTCTTCTGCATTTTAGTGAGTCTATTGTGTCACATTGGGCTTTGTGCAGTCGCAGGGACCGTCTTCAAACCTCCCCCCCCCCACCCATTTTCTGATTTATGTTCTCCTGCTATCATGTCTCTGCTCTTCCCTTAGTAGACAAAGTAAGCTACTGTCCCAGCCTTTGTACTCTCGTTACTCTTCTTCACCTCTTGTACTGTCTTCTTTTCTTCCTTTTTGTTCCTCATGTTTCCCTTTCCTGCAGTTTGTTGTCTCCTTCTCATGTCTTCCCCGTCCTCCTCCCCTTTCTTCTCCTGCTCTGCTTTTTCCTCCTCCTCCTCCTCCTCCTCCTCCTCCTCCTCATCCCCTCTGTTTCCCGTCCTCCTTTTCTCCTCCTCCCCTCCTTCCCTCCATCTCCTTCTGCCTCCCCCCCCCCCTAAAAGAAAATTCCTTCCCCCTCAACCATGCTTCCCTCACACTAACCATACCCTGTTTCTCCTCAGCGTTTTGGGACAGTGACTTCTAGGTAATTGCATGGTGACCTTGCTCTGTTTGTGCGCGGCTCAAGCCAGCTGCGCCTGTTGCCTGCCTCAAAGCCTTGCTCAATCTTCTCAGACAAATTTGTTTCATCAAGTTCTGTTTTTTCTGCGTTTGTTATTTTCGTAGTTCAATAACATGACAAAGAATATTGTTGAACTTTTTTTTTT